TTTTTCTCAGTCTTGATTGCTGTCAACCTGTCTTGACTAGTGATGCCAGCCTTAATCTGGATTACTTCACGTCGCTTCCTATCGTGTATCATAATATCCGGTCGATCCAAACATCCTTATTCTCAATCGTGTATCGACTCTGATTTCAACGTTCTCATTTGCAACGACCTCCTAAAACGAATGGCTTTGCAAGCGCGGGAATGCTTCCAGACCATACTTCTTGCAGAGTCCCAAATAGATGTATTGTATGATCTCATTGTGTTTTCTAGTATAGTCATGATGTAACATTTTTTTGCACTACGTTGCTAGATGGTCCACCGTCTTCACATGTTCTCCACAATGCTCGTACATGCCTTTCTCACTTCCATGCATATTTTTATCTTGGAAATAATAATATCGTGCCTCATCTTGCTAGGTAATGTTTCTGTATCGCAGCCATTTTGATGAATCAACTATGGACTCCACATTTTGCATAGCATTGCGTGGTGGGTTTTCTTTTCTATTTCGCTACGTCTTCTGAGCTGCTTACACGTTTCCGACGGTAAGATTTTCTGCGAGATTGTACTTATTCTTTAGATAGGGCACAATAATTGCCAAGAACGTGTTATGAGCTTTATCCTGCTTCAAAATCTGCCCTTGTGTACAAATGGGTGCGGTATCTACAAGAACATAATGTATCAACATTACGAAGGCCAAATCCGAGCTCGTCCCTTGGCTGGTCCAGTCTTTCCAAGCATGCAGATTGCTTGTGAACTTTGTATTTGATTAGTAGCTGTCTGATATCGTGGTCTATAGCCTTGAAGTCTTCTGGCTCCAGCTTGAGCATCCCGACGTAATAATTTATTGGGCTTATGGCGTGCTCATTCACAACTTTGATAAAGTTCTTGCCATTTAGTGCAGTTTTGGCTAACCGCTCAATTCTCACTAAAATCTCTGTCCGGATTTCATCGCAGCTTTCACGGGTAGGTTCACTAGTCCTGTTTTCCATGATTCCAAGGTATTTATACCCTTGATTTCCTTCCAATAGCGCTGCTTTATCAGCACATACCTCAGTACTAGTGGATGACTTTGCTCAATTTACTTCTAGTCCTACCACATCAAGGAACTTCTCAACTTCTTATGTCTCGTTGTTTCGAATTATTTTAAAAGCAAGACATTTTAGGAACCAATGACCATATACGTGCGATAAATGCAGGGCACGTTTCGGACGACAAGGCGGCCTTAGACATCATTTCATTATGGTGCATACAAATCGGCGTTACTGCTGCGTCTATGCTGATTGTACACATGCTGGCTTCAAGTGCTCGAAGATTAGCAATTCTTTGTTAAACTTTAATATTGCTTTACTTCATCAGTGTATTTTTTATCACTGCTCTTATCAGTTATTTAATCAGTATCCAGTACTGTTGAATCAAAATATCTATACCTACAATTCAACACCAAATCACATTTGTCTATTGTAAGCCTTGGCTGCATATATTTGTTCAATACATACCAAATACAGACCGTAAGTGTAATCTTGGCAGTTCACAAATTTAATTTCTAATAGTGATGATAAACTAAAATTAATGGCCAGATTTATTAAATATTTACTGGC